GTCGTTATGAATTGGTGAGAACACCACACCCCAAAAAAAAAAAAAAAAAAAAGAATGCAACATAATAGTGGGTCAGCCAGTGGCAATGGTTAGTGCAGGTGGATCCCACATGGCTGACCCTGTGGTTTAAGTGCCAGACCAAACAACTTTAGAAATATGCATGGCATCTATGAATGAGTACCCAAAATCCTGAAAGGTGGTGAAAGGTGGGAAAGATGGAAGAGAAGGGATTGCAGTATGACCCCCCATTGGGGGATGGGGAATGGTTTCTCCTTTCTCTCTTTCTCTCTCCTTGTCTCCCTCTGGCAAGTGCATGCACCCTCTGGCAAAACTACTTAAAAAAAAAAAAGGCCAACTCGTTGGTGAATTGGTGGTAGTCAGAACAACTGGATCCCACAGGGCTGACTGTGCAGTTCAAGTTCTAGACGCAATGGCTTGAGAAACACACTGGGCCTGTGCATGCATGCCCAGGATTCTCAAAGGACGGACGGAGAGATGGAGGAGAAGGAACTGCAGCATGGTCATTTCCCATGGAGGGAGCTTTCTTGCTTTCTCTCAAGTGAGTGTAGGTGACCTCTGGCAAAACATAAAAAATTAAAAGAATCCAGCATGATAATGTAGCATTAAGAAACAAACCTTTATAGATTACAGCTTAAATGACTTATTCTATGTACTCTAGGCTATTGCCTAGAAAATACAAAGTACTCAGTAAAGTTTATTCTTAACATTAAAAAAAGTGGTGTTATTTTCATTGGCTTTGTTTGTTTGCTCACTGATACTAAAAATGAAAGGGTTGAGGTAAGTTAATGAGCTGTCTACTCCTAGGTGCACAAGGGTTACAACACTTCAGGTAAAATGATCCTTGATTATAACCTTGCGTTTCCCTTATTTACTCATTAGTCTGTCTCTTACTCTGTGACCTGACACGACCCTTATGTACAACACAATGCCAGGTCAGGGTAAGCAGGGAAGAAGGTGGCCATCTGGCTACAGGAAGTCATCCTGCATTTAGGGAGATAGAAAACAATCATGTTGCTCAAATCTGAGACATTTGGGAACTGACTAAACTAAGTTGGAAAAAAGGGAATAACACTAAGAGAATTTAGTTATTAATTTAGTTATTGAAATTTACCATATCAATAATAGTATCATCATTAACAATATAAAACATTTGTTAAATTAATGTTTATATGAGTCAGGCACTATGCTGGGGTATTTTTTACATGTTGGCTCATTTATTCCTTTGAACAACCTATAGGGTAAGTATTATCCATATATTTAAGGTGAGGACACTTCTAGTCAGAAAGGGTAAACTATTTGATAAGGTTAAACAGCTGATAGATAGTGAAGCTAGGATTCCTACCAAGGTTTTAATCTAAGGCCATTCCGTAGCCATCATACTTGACTGCCTACAAAGAATTTCTGAAATCAATCATTTGAAGTCATGTAGAATTTCCTGATGATTGCTTTTTCCATACATAAATAGGATATGCTGGAGAAAAAAGTGAACAGTTATGATATATTATGACAAATGTTGTATTGTTGTTATGAATGTATAACTAGGAAGTACAATAGGGGAAGAAGGAGGAGAAACATTCTCTGTGACCTTGGAGGGTCATTTAGTTTGTTTGACTTCAGTTTTGTCATCTGTATATGGGGTGATGATCTCTTCTTCAAAACATTATTATGAAAACCAGATGTAAACTATGTGAGCACACTT